ACAAACATTTTAGTTCATCAGATTTTAGTACAGCTTATATTTCAAAAGGGTGAAAAGATCTCTACAAAATGTTCGTTAATATTCTTGAACATAAGTCCATTTTAGTTCATTTCTACTATGAACAGAATGAAACAGCCTGTGCTCACGGCTGGGGATAGAACCCTGGATTTTCGCGTTGTAAGTCCGTAGACGTACCGCTGTCCCACTTGGGAATCACAGGCTGTATATTTATCAAACTTTATTTTGTGCGTACATACTAATTGCAGCAACTTACAAAAGAAAAAAATGAAACATTCGGATACCATTCATTTTGATTTGTTAAAGCTTACATTTTCAACATATTTCTGAAATTTTCTGGCTAAATTAATCATAGCCCTTGTGTTTTCATAAGCACATAAATTGCTGTCTTTGACCTTAAACATTTAACCTACCAAAATTCGCTTCACCCTACTTCGTATTTCCAGAAGTCACTGATTACTTAGAAGGCTTCCAAAACACGCGCCTCATCTATCATAGGCACGTGCTTTTCCAGTCAGAACTGACACGCCACCATAATGACATTGTGCATTGAAGACAGAAGCAGCTGCAAGACTGGATTCTGAACCAAACTTGAGAACATGATGTGTCGTGGGATATCATCTCGCTAACGTCACCTGAGCAATTGAAAAACAATACTTATCATCGCTAACGTCATCTAAGCAATTGAAAACAACAAACTGTGAGACAGCGATAAGTGGTCAGCGTGGCCTTGCTCTAAAACAAATACAGCTTGTATAAAATATTTATAGAATTTTATCACGCTTGTATTTATTATGGAAGGAAGTTCGTGATGATTTTGTTTAGTTTATCACAAGTCTCTTGTTTGTTCTTGGATGAAACACAGAAGCTATCGACTTTCCAACTTCTATCTCATGTATTTCTTTACTGTTAGCTTACTTCTTACTGGTTTATGGTACTTTTATCGTGTTTACTAGGCTAATTAACTACGTAGTTTGACTGAAAACGTACCTGAACACAAAAGGAAAATAGGTTAAAAGTAAACAGAATTATACGTTTATCGAGTTTTAAATAAGTTTGGTGCAATGTTAACATTTATTTTCATTTTTCACTTTTAAAGGTCTACTACGCTAAAAAAAAGCGACGGGCACAGCAAATACAAGGACAGGATACCAGTCATAAGAAAGAACGTAAGCTGTATAATGATGGGTATGATGATGAAAATCTTGATTACATCATCACACGGGGAGAGAAGTTTATGGATCGCTATGAAATTGGTTCTCTTATTGGAAAAGGATCATTTGGCCAGGTGTGTATTATGATATATAGGCTGCCTCCTTGGAAAAGGATCATTTGACCAGGTATGTCTTATGATATATAAGCTGCCTTCTTGGAAAAGGATCATTTGACCAGGTATGTATTATGATATATAGGCTGCCTTTTGGAAAAGGATCATTGGACCAGGTGTGTATTATGATATATAGGCTGCCTTCTTGGAAAAGGATCATTTGACCAGGAAAGTATTATGATATATAGGCTGCTTTATTGGCAAAGGATCATTTTACCAGGTAGGTATTATCATATATAGGCTGCTTTATTGGAAAAAAAGTCCATTTGGTCAAACAACTATTGTTTTATTAAATATGGACTGCCTTACTAGAAAAGAAAAAATTAGTTGTTCATGTTGGTGTTATTTTTGTGGTAAGAGACATATAAATGTTTTCTTACTTTTTCTCACCTTTAGCTAAAGCAATATATGATTACTATTAATGGTATACTATATATGATTACTATTAATGGTATACTATATATGATAA